AAAAAGCATATATAATTACCATGTAAATGGGAATTCATAGATCTGTTGCATACATATTCATAAACCAACAACCTTCTATCACTCTCCACACAAAAACCGATTAGCTTCACGCATTACGGTGCTGAGCACAGCTTAGAACTTGCATGGCTTACAAATTCAATACCTTGGAGCACTTAATTTCAAGCCCAAACCGCCAATGCAAACTAAACAAATATAAAATTTTAGACTACAGTTATATGAAGGGACTTGCATGGCTTACAAAGTTCCAGCTATGCCAGTACTGAGATGGCTTTGATCCTCAACAAAGTACCTCGCCAATCCAAAATCTGAGATCTTAGGACTGAACTTATCATCCAACAATATGTTGCTGGCTTTGATGTCCCTATGAATGATTCTAACAGCTGAAGCACTGTGCAGATAAGCTAAGCCTTCTGCAGTGCCAACAATGATATTGAATCTTCTTTCCCAATCTAGTGAAGTTCTCATGAATGAATCTGGAAGCATAAAGAGGACAGTAAAATGCAGTAAGAATCAGTATTTTTCTTTCATTTGATGTTTCCAAATAATGGATTTTCTTACCGAATAAGTAACGGTCAAGGCTAGTGTTGCTAAGAAACTCAAAAACAACAAGGCTTTCAGGTCCTTCAACGCTGCAACCCAGAAGCTTTACAAGGTTATTGTGATGCACTTGGTTAATGAGAATGACTTCACTAAAGAATTGATCAACCCAATTGGTTGTGTTGAAGAAAAGCCTCTTCACATCTATTTCCTTCCCATCTGGCAGAATGCCTTGCATGTGCAAATCTCACACATCACTCTATATGTTCAAAGAAATTCACAAACTTGGCATTGAAGGGATTTATTTATATTACTAATGTAAGCACATAATGCCATTACTGAGATGCTTTATCACTACACACAGTAATTATCAAGCAAGTCATGACATCCCTATGCTCATCTATTTCTAATATCTTGAGTAAAAAGAAAGCAAAGAGAGGGAGATCGTTACCTTTATGGCAATGAAGTTCCTTGTCAACTAGAGGAAGAAGAGAGCAAGGCTACAGCTTCCTAGGGGTTTCGGTTCTATTTCAATCTTGTGGGAGAGTGGAGATCGGCTGTTGGAAACGGCGACCTAGGGCAAGAGCCGGTCGGGGAGCAAGATCGGCTTCGGGCTGCCTCCCTTAGAGTGAAACCGAGAGTGGGAGACGGGCTAGGGCTTGATCCTAGGGTTGGTGGATCGAGAGACGTTGGAGACCGGCAAGAGAGAGGAACGACTGACCTTGGGGTCATGCAAAACAAAGGTAAACGGGCTGGGGAAGACATGCGAACCAGGTGGTTTCCGCCTGGAGCCCCTTGCCAACCGAGGAGATGGTTCATGCGAATCAAAGAGAATGAGATGGAGAGGAAGGGGGTATTGCAAAAGTGGAGGAGACGGTTCCGCCTAGGGAATTATTGCGAACCGAGAGAGAGAGGTCCCGTCGCTTGGGGAATTCTTGCAAACAGAGAGAGAGCGGGGAGCCTTGTGAACTGGGAGGAGGCGAAGCCAGGAGGTTTTTCGCGAACTGCCCATGAGACGGGGCTGCTCTCGCAAATATAGGGGAGCGGGAGATTGTGGGAGTCTGAACGAGCTCTAACTGAATCTAAAACTGCTCGATTCAAATTGATGACTAAATCGACGACTGCGATCTATGGACTGATTTAAAAATAATTTGAGTTGATTATTCCAATCATGATTATAATCAATTTAATCAAATTAAAATCACTTAATATCAAGTTTAATGAATATTTATTTCAATTTTATTTTATTGATTTGAAAAGGTTGATTTAATCAATTTATCCCAATTAATGTTGATTTGATTTTAATAGGTTTGAAACGAGTTTAATTTAGATTTAATCAAAATTGTCATATGTTAAATCAAATTTGAGCCGAGTCAATTTTATTTTAATTTGTGATGATTTAGGTCGAGTCAAAAGGTTGAGTCGATGCTACGGTGTTGGGTATCTACATAAGAAAAATTCTGAAGACGACATCTATAATATGCTACGAAAACCTAGGTGCTAGAGATTAATTCCAGGGAAATTGACCTCGAATAATGAGGTCAACAATAAAATGTTAATGATATTTTAAAAATGATTATGTACACAATTAAAAAGAAAGAATAATTAGTCACTAAAATGACATGTATATATTTGTGAAAAATAAATATCTAGACTTTTAATGACAAAATTAGCAGTCAATTTTCCTTTTTGGTGGCTAATATCTAGATTCCTTATTATTTAGAGGCCACACTTACTTTTGGTCGCTAAAAGATATCTTTAGCGACCAAAAATTTTTTTGTCTCTAATTTTTTGGTCGTTATTGACTCATTTTCTTGTAGTGGGGGGTGGGGCAAATTTTTCTTAGTAATAGATTAATATAAAAAAAAATGAGGACATAATTCAAAGTGAAATCTTGTATTTCATTATGATAAGAAAATTGAAAGTTATTATAATTTTATTAATCTATTTTGCATTTTTTTTGATAATATTGGATAACATCTTTATTGAGAATCAAATCAAACATATCTTTTTCAATGTAAGGCACAAGACAATTGTTGAGCCAATCATCACCCATACTACTACGCAATCAATGTTTGATAATTTTCATCGCTGAAAATGCTCTCTCCACTGTAGTAGTAGCAACTGGTAAGGTTAATGTTAAGATAATAAGTCCGTAAACCAGATGATACACGCCATTCTTCTTGAACTTAACAATCTACTTTGCAAGATCAGCAATGCTTCTTAGAGAAGAGAACTCTTCACTGGTCAGCATACTCAATAAATTACGTTGTTAATTGACTTTTAAGAGCAACAACCTCAATTATAAAAAAATCACTTGGATATAACTCTGCTACACATATCAACTTTCTCTCATCATAAGCACGAAAAGAATTACTTGGATTTAAGCATGACACATAAAGAAGTAACTCAATACTTGATTCAAAAAAGTGATTATTTAGCTCTTAAAATTGCATGTCAACTACAATATAAAATAGATCAACATGATAATGATGTAGATTTGTTTTATCTTCACCTCTTCGTACTGATCGACGATGAGTTTTATATGTTTCATTCATGTTTGGAACAACAACTTCAAAAATACTACAAAAAATGTAACACTTCATCTAGTAAATCATTTCATCCATTCTCCCTTAGTAGTTGCAGTCATTGTTTAGAAATTTGAACCAATTTTATTTTATTTTCAATGTCTTGATCTTTCATTTGCAAGGATTGTGATAACTCATTCATAATTGTCACAACCCAACCCGATCAAGACGGATCCTATTGTGTTGAGCTGTGACGGTGAACCCCAGGATCTAATTTTGGAATTGCTTTTCAAACTTTCTTCACATATTCTTTCATAATACAGAACCACAGAGCTACTAAAAACTTTCAAATACTGAAAACTCATCCACAAAATATTTCTTTCATTCATCAAAATAATAATATATATTACAGTGGCTACAGACATAAGATATAAAACAGAAAAGTAAACTAGTCATGACTGCACAAAAATCAAAAGTACCAAAAATACCTATAACTTCAGATCAGATCCTGAGTGGCTAGTCCACAACTTCCTTCCCTTTTCCAGAACCTAAAAATCATGAAGAAGTTGTTTCATCCATTCTCCCTTAGTAGTTGCAGTCGTTGTTTAGAAATTTGAACCAATTTCATTGCATTTTCAATGTCTTGATCTTTCGTTTGCAAGGATTGTGATAACTCATTCATAATTGTCACAACCCAACTCGACCAGGACGGATCCTATTGTGTTGAGCTGTGACGGTGAACCCCAGGATCTAGTTTTGGAATTGCTTTTCAGACTTTCTTCACATAGTCTTTCATAATACAGAACCACAGAGCTACTAAAAACTTTCAAATACAGAAAACTCATCCAAAAAATATTTCTTTCATTCATCAAAATAATAATATATATTACAGTACATGGCTACAGACATAAGATATAAAACAGAAAATAAACTAGTTATGACTGCACAAAAATCAAAAGTATCAAAAATACCTATAACATCAGATCAGATCCTGAGTGGCTAGTCTACAACTTCCTTCCCTTTCTCAGAACTTGAAAATCATGAAGATAATCACAGTGAGCTCACAACTTAGCAAGGTCACACTAGATGATCTAAATTCCCAGACAATCTCATTTCAAAAGGCTTTACAGAAGATTTAAAAATAGTTATTTGTAAATTAAATAAATCACTGAATTAGATAGCAGTTCAAATTTAGATATTCATCAGAAATTCAGATAAACACACAGAATTCAGATAATCATACAAAAATCAAACAATCAAACATAATTCATATATTCATACAAAAATTAAGATAAACACATAGAATTCAGATAATCATATAGAAATCAATCAATCAAATAGAATTAAGGTATTCATAGAGAACAGATGAATCAAATAACATATATAGAAGAACTAAATAAAATTTATATCACAGATCATTCAAAATCACATTCAAATCACATTTTAGAACATATTTCAGGACATATTTCAGATCAGATTTCCTAGACCCAGACAGAATCTCAAAGGATTTTGACCCCTTATAGCTCCCATTGTTCTTACAGCACTAGAACTTATAAGATATACAGAATTATCATATCAGATTTCAATTTTCATATTCTCAGACCCAAATAGAATCTCAAAGCATTCTGGCCCCTTATGCCTCCCTTTCCTGTCACAGATAAAATCTCAAAGGATTATGACCCCTTATAACTCCCTTCTGATATCATTTAATCATATAAAATATCAAATCATTACATCATAATAAATACGGAGTAATTGAGCACATATCAAAATTTCACCTTTTCGTGTAGCGACAGATAACAGAAAAGCCAACGAATAAAAAATGCATAATTTCAAAAAATTACCAAGTTACCAGAGATCATATAAAACAACATTTTAAAACTTTTATTGCACTGAAGCACTATTTTTCGACATCCAGATAATTTTCTATTCGATAAAAACCCCGCAGATTTCAAAATACACGGTAATTTTTTTTTCAGAAAACATTCAAAATGTGCAAAATTATAATCTCTATGACATACCAAAAGTTACAAGGTAAAAGTTTTACCGGTGCAAAGTTATACTCATTTTTCGCTAACGGAAACAAAATTTTAATCAGAATATTTTCCAAAACTCATATTTCTGAAAATTGAGATAGACATAATGTGCCTTACCTCGAGTCGATCAATTTTCTCAACTACATTGTCGAACGAAAACGGACCGAAGATGCCCAAAACTTGACTTTTCTTCCTCTTTCCTTCTCTTTCTCTCTCTAGACTTTCTCTCCCTTCAAAAATCAACAAATGAGATATTTAATGGGCTGAGATATTTTGGATCGTACGGACGATATTTTTTGTTCGTCCCGGGACGATCTCCTCTGTCCACATATCGTATAGACGATAATTAATTTCGTCCTTAGACGATGGGCTCTGTTAAAAAAATTTGTTCTGTTCGTACAGACGAACTGACGGTTTGCACAGACGAACCTGCACCTTGTTCAGTTCGTACAGACTAACATGCACCTTGTTCAATTCGTACAGACGGTTCATACAAACTAACATGCACCTTGTTTAGTTTGTACAGACGGTTCGTAAAGACTAACTGCACAAAAAAAAAAAAATCTCCAAAAATAACTTGAAAGTTTAAAGGTTTCACAGTAATGCGTAATATATTAATCATCAAATGCATTGTAAAAATAAAATCAAAAGACTCCATTATATCAATCAGAA